TGAGGCATTGGTTGATTAGCTTTGTATGTCTATATGTGTTTTCATGAAAAACTACATTGAAGCTATCAATATGTAATACAATAAGCATTGTTAATTCCCTACCACTGTTTGTAACTCTGTAATGTCTGTACTGATCCTTTGCTATTTTGTAAAATGTTGTCGATCTGTTAGTATTTTCCTTTAATTTCTAAAATTAAAAAAAAAAAAAAAAAAGAGGCTGAGGCAGGAAGATCCTCATGAACTTAAGTTCAACCTGAGTTAAAAGAAAATGAGTTAAAAGAAAATCACCTGTAACATTAATTCAATTGAACAAAGAGTATTGGGCATTTACACAGCAAAGTATGTGCTCTGAAACAATGTAAATTAACACTGATCTTGAAGTTTCTGTACAGAAACAACAGTGAGAATTTCGGCATCCAAATCTATACATAACTGTGATATCTTACAGAAAAGACATAGGCACAAGGTAGAGGAGGAGCTGCACTCCATTTAGAAGTAAACCACCTCGGGGCTGGGGATTTAGCTCAGAGGCAAAAGCGCCTGCCTGGCATGCGCAAGGTCGTGAGTTCGGTTCCCAGTACCGGAGAAAAACCAAAAAAAAAGAAGTAAACCACCTCAAGTGATGAGTGTCGCCACACAGCCGTTACAGCAGTGGTCTTTAAACTGTGTTTGCAAACATGAGAAATCTCAAAATACCCCGAGGCCCTTCTCCAAACACAACCAGTAACACCTGGCAGATGCCACTTGGGGTCATCAGAAACCCAAAGCAGACCCCCCGGAGGAGGCGGGGACTTGGAAACTGCACTGTGAGATCCCAGGTGAGCAGCCGAAGACTGAGGGGGAGGGCAGCGACAGGCCCTGTGCCCCCCCTCACTCCTCCCCTCCCCTCAGTCCTCATCAGCCCAGACGGGCTCCCTCCCTTCGCGGAGCCGCGGTTCCAGGCACGTCTGTCCCTACCACAGGGATCTGCAGATTTAAAAAGCACTGGAAGGCTCTCAGGCTGAGAATCACATACTCGTAAATAACTTACTCCATTGCAGAGAGATCCATATCAACTTCTTCTCCATTCATCAGTGGGATTTTCTTCTTTTTATTCCTGTGTTTAAGGCAAAGTTTGAAAACTGTAATTTCTAAATCTGAACATAAAAAGCAGCAGTTTAAAAACTGGAAGATCTCCTCAGGGAGAACGGATAGCACATGGAATGGAACTCAAAGACAATCTACTTTGAGTCCAGAGGGAATGCAGTAAATACTGAAGTTTTCTCCTGATCGCATTTTAATGAAAAGCAGACATGATCAAATGTTAATTCAAAACATATCACTGTATATTCCCAAATGGCAGGTACCACTTTCTGTACAATAAGAGCATCTACCATAGATGAATGCTTTCTAATAATGGAAGAATAACCAGGCCTGAAGTGGATGTCAGCCCAAGTCAAACCGCGGACTGCGGGAACACGAGTGTCTCCTGTACGAAATGAAGTGGCTAATGAAACGCCGCGAAGGTTATTACCACGTACAGCCAACACGCGAAGCCAGGAACAACTGCCAGCACACAGGTTACTCACGCAGCAGGAAACCCAGTGGACGACACACCAAAAACCGCGGCAGAGAACGTTCGAGAACCTGCGACCCCAGCACTTTGGGAGCCTGAGGCAGAAAAATCAGAAGTTCAAGCCCAGCCCGGGCAACTCGGCAAGGCCCTGTCTGAAAGTAGAAAAGGGCTGGGGATAACGCTCAACGGGAAGGCCCGAGATTCAATCTTCAGTGCCTCGTAGATAAAGAAAGGACACACTGTTATTAGAGAATTAAAACCAGAGGAAATGTTACAAAAGCAGCGATCACATGTTCATAATTACCAAAGTGGACAGACCAAGGGCATTTGGGGATCTGGGGATTTCTTTCTGAACTGAGAATTGTTCCAGGGCTGGGACGGGTACAGCTCCATGGGAGAGCGCTTGCTATCACACATGAGCCCCTGCGTTTGATCCCCAGAACCACAAAAACAAAGAAAATTTTTTTTTCTCAGATTAAAATGATTATAAGAAGATTCAGAATCAAAAGTTCAGTCAGGGATATAGATCTGTGGCATAAGCGCCTGCCTGTCAAGCGCAAGGTCCTGAGTTCGATTCCTGGTTACCCCCGCCCCCCAAAAAGAATCAAACGTTCTTCAGGCTTTCAAAACCAACATTCCCATCTATCTGAAGTGAAGTAACAAAGTCAAGTTTGAAGACTTCTGTTCGTGAAATGGTGATACCGTGCACATTCTTCCAACAGAGCACAGAAACATTCTCTTCTTTACTAGTCAGAGATGAATGACTGAATCCTACAAATGAAAATGTCACCAAGAACAGAAAGCAAACCAAGAATGTTCCAGTAACACCGACCTGAAGTAAAGCAGGGAGGAAGGTTCCCAAGAGCATGTGCTTCCCCTAACAGCACGGCAGGCTTTTCACCCGGGCCTCTCAGCCCCGGGGACGCGCGGCTCAGCGTGTGGTGTCGTCCTGACCCAGTGCCTACCTTCTGCTTTTGGAATGGCAGGGAATGTCGTGCTTCAGGCTGTTTTCCTCAATCTGCAGCGTATGATTGAAGGATCCATCCAGCTCCTGCACCGTCACTTTAAGTGGTCCCTTCAGTAGGAAACATTGTTCACAAAAGCAGCGCTAGCGAACAGCAACGTGTGTGCACAGCTGCCGCAGCGAGGTGTGGAATGAAACCGCGCAGCCACTGACACGGAAGAGCACCGGCCTAAGAGAAGGCCGGGTCTCCGTGCCACCCTCTGCCCTCCACCCACACGCAGCACCTTCCCGCTTTACTCTCCGCAAACAAATCCCCTGCCCCTGCCGAGACCGGGGAGAGAGCGGAGGCTGCTGCGGAAAAAACACCTACCACGTATTTCTGAGTTCCGGGAGATGTGTAATCCTGTTTGATTTCTAATTCTAAGACGTTTCGCTTTCTGTTAAACGCAAAACTTCCATAGAATTTCACCACTCCACTCTGGTCTCTGGAGAACTGTAAAGGAGAGCTTACGTACTGAGACGGACATGTGCTACACAGAACACGCTACTGACGCACACGTAATTTTCCAATCTAGCCCACCAGTTTATGGGCTGGAAGTGCGCTTCATTAGAACCAGGTGGCAACGTACTCAAGATTCTTGAGAAAATGTTTCCCCAGATTTAAACAAAATTTCTCGAACACTGAAAAATCTGTGTTTTCACGGAGGAAAAAAATTGCTCTACTACTCAGCAGTCGCAGACTCCAAGATGCCACTCGGGTGGCGGCAGCCTGAGCAGCTCAGAGTCGCGCCGCTTCGCCCTGAAAGGGCTTCCGCAAGCCTTCAAGTCCCTCTCCCACCCGCCACCGCCGGCTTCTTCCTGCACACAGTCAGGTGCACCTCAGGGTGCGCCAAACGCTGTACGCATTAACACGCGTGTCTATGTACGTGTGCTTCGACGACCAGTGGATGCTACAGAGGAAATGATTCGCAGTTTGGTTATTCCCACTGCGTGTGAGAAATAATTACTGTATGCTCCTTGTAGCTCCTCAAACCCCTAGCTCCCCTCACGTACATCACACCCCTTTCCCACTGTTTGAACTCTTTGAAAAGGATACACCCACTGTTTTATTAAGGGCTGGATGTCTTTGCCAGAGACATTAGAAATTGATTTCAAAAATCCAGATGTGGAAACCAACATCTGACTCCACATATGTGACTGGAACTTCTGAGATGAAGCAGTGCTGGCCAGACTTAGCAGCTTATTGAAAACCTGTAAGGATGAAAGCGCCGTTTAGTAAGTCCACGCAACACACTGCTTCAGCTGTACACGGCGCCTGTTTCGCACTTTCGCTTTACTGGAGTCAATTTTATTACATAAATTGTTCTAGTTAAACACTAGAAGCAGCAGAGACATGCGAAGATTTAAACAGCCAGACTATAAAAGCATCTTCACACAAATACTTCTGAATGTTAAAGATGTACTAGACAAAGAATATTCTATTAAGAATTAGAACAGTATATAATACATACACTTTATTTTGCTATAGAAGTGCCCATCAGGACCCTAATACTCTGTCTTAGGCATGCAATAAATCCATGTGTTCTTTTTCCTAGTAAAACCAAGTGGGCAGCACTTGGGAGGCTGAGGCAGAAAGATCACTATGAGTTCAAGGCCACCCTGAACTGCATAGTGGGACCCTGCCTCAAAAGAACAAAAAAAAGCCAGGCATGGTGGCGCACACCTATAATCCCAGCACTCTCGAGGCTGAGACAGGAGGATTGCCATGAGTTCGAGGTCGCCCTCACTGCCCAGCCTGGACTCCACAGTTAGACCCTGTCTCAAAAACAAACGAAGAAACAAACCAACCAAAAAATAAATAAATAGTAAGTGGGAGTGGGAAATCTGTGGTGCAGCTCAGTGACAGCTTTGCCAAGCGTGTGAGACCTCAGGTTTGATCCCCAGCACTGCAATAAATTACTAATACACATACAGCTCTAAAAAGGGGAGCAGCTCTTCACAGACCGTCTTCTCACTCACTAATTATGCTCTCCAGTCTAAATGCGAGCTGAAGGACAGGACTGAACATAATGAACTCCAGGGCAAACTTTCTGCGTTGTCTCTACTGATTCTTTTGGTGCTGGGCGCTGAACACAAGGCCTCACCCGCGCTAGGCAAAGCTTCTCCCAGTCACACCCCAGCCAAACGCTGCTTACAAAAGGAATGTCGGTTTCACTGCCTCTAGCGGTGCTATCAATGGAAAAAATAGCCGAACACTTTACAATCTTACTTCTACTATCTTACTTCTTACTGTACTATCTTGCTTCTACTCTCTCCTGCTGTATCATAAACTACTTCCACTAACACTTGCTTTACAATATGGCAAAATTTAGAGACAGGCAAAAATACCCGCCTGTTAGATTGGTTTGCTCTTCCTCTATTGAAAACTTTTTTTTCCTATACCGAGAATCGAACTCAGAACCTTGTGCTTGCCAGACAGGCACTTATGCCACTGAGCACTGTCTACAGCCCTGACACATCTCTATGTGGAATTCTATGGTGGCGTTCTAGGCACTGTAGATAAGATACTGTACGGATGCATGGGTTTGCTTGCACACGCACACTCTGATTTCACCATCCTGACAACCACACACTGCACGGGTCTGGTGCTGACACCCCTCTGACACCTGAGAAAAGGCAGAGACAAAGCAGAGGTCCCCCGCAGGCTCCCGCAGGGCGCATGCAGCCCTGCCTGCACTGCTGAGCTCCCACCCCCAGCGCTTACTTGGAGCATGAACTCCATGCTGATCCTGTTCTCAATCAGCCTCATCACCAGGTGAGCTTTACACTGGAACATTGTGTAGTACTCCCAGGAGAGCGTATGCGGGTGCTTTATGGAGAAGTGCAGATGGGACGCTGGACTAGAAAAAGAAAGAAGCGAATTTACTTCACAAACTCTGACTGTTAAATGAGCAACAAATTTCACAGATGCAGCAAGATAATGTATCAAAAACCCCATCTGAATACCTAACCTCAGTAATATCCTTATTACTATGAAACCCTAAGGCTGAGAGATTACGAAGATTTACTAAAGGACACAAAGGGCACCCCGAATAAATGGAAACACATGTCAAGCTCCCAGACAGAGACACAGCACTCTGTGTATTTAAGGTCTCTTTCTACCTACCAATAGTCACAGCAATTCTAACCAATACCCCAATGCTAAAGCACACACAAGAGTACGATGAATCAGGTATCTAAAAGAAACAAGCAAAAACAATTATGAAAGTACTGAAAGAAAATACAGCAATAGGTTTTACTTCATAATCCTGAAGTGAGAAAATTTTTCCTAATGAAAAATACAAAATCCAGGACATAAAGCCCAGAATAACCATGTAAAAACTTAAGAACTTGATATGAGGAAGAGGATCACCAGAAAGAGAAGGACACAGTCCCAAAGTATTTAAGACACACGAACATCTAAGTTGTTCCTTCTCATGGTTTCAGGCAATGCTGCCGTGAGCATCTTTCTATATGAGCTCAAGTATTCCCACACACTAAATGCCAGGGAACAGAACTGCTATATAATTGTATGCCTAAAAGGACAACTGCGGAATCTAAAAGTGACCATTCTAAAACCTTGATTGGTACCAAGAAAAGACACCCCCCAAAACCGTGCCAAGCCACACCCTTGCAGCCAGTCTTCACAGGGATGCTCAGTCCCTGGACAGGCTGAGGTGTGCTGGCGGGTGTGTGTGTGTGTGTGTGTGCGCGCGCGCGTGTATATGTGTGTGTCATCATGCTGACTCTGTGTGTGTGTGTGCGTGTATATGTGTGTGTCATCATGCTGACTCTGCCCCAAGGGCTCAGGGTCAAGGGCACCCGCTTCCCACCCTGCTTATCCTGCAGCACTCCCGACTTGGAGGAGCACCCTCCCTGGGCACCAGTCCCGCCTGGCCTCCAACTCGGACTCCACTGAGCGGAGCTTGTGTGGAATGCATTGCTGCTGCTCCTAAGTAACACTTAAGAGCGTTGCTCACAGCAGCATCGAAGAGACACACTGCGCTGGATACGATTTAGAGTATGTATCAATCCAGCACTTACAAAGTGATTTTTGTACCTCATGTGAGCCAAGGAAGGAGGAACGAGAACACGAGCGGGTTTGGGGTCACCCCTCTGCACTGCTAGTCTGTCTCTGGCCTTGTGTGGCCCCCACAAACGGAGGAGTGGCCCCCTAAGACCAGTCCCATAACATCATCCCTGAACACCAAACATACTTATCCTTCTCTTTTCCTCCACCGAATATGGGATGCAGTAAAACTCCCCCAGTTTTCAGTTCATATGCCACTATTTTATCCAGCTCCTAAGAAAGATTCAAAAATAGAAGTCAGTAAAACTCGTTTACACACCAAATTTCAAAAGCAAACTACAATTCTTTATCCTGGACTCCAACTGTAAATTTCTCAGGATAAGCATTAGCAGGAGAGTTTACAGCCCAATAAACACAGCCAAGCGCACAGCCGGCTCAGGTCGAGAGCCTGGCGGCTTCTGTTCCGCTGTCCTCATCCCTGGTGGTCTCATGACACTGCTGCTCCCTCCCCAGGGCCTCGCTCTTAGGGACTGGGCGAGTGACAACAGCAATGGGGATAAATTACATCAGGAGTTCATCATTTTTACATTTCTCCAGGCTTCTCTTAAAAAAACCAAACAAAATACATAGCACCATTGTGCCAGAAACTCATAACTAGTTTAAATAATACAGGTGCATACAGGAAGGCAGTAACCAGCTCCGTCCATGGGAGGAAGTCACGACAGCTGAGTCCGGGACCTCAGTCCCTCATCTCCCGCATCCTGCTTCCCGGTCTGCAAGATGCTGAGGACGCCTGAGCTTAGGTTAAGGAAGGTTACATGACGGCTTCCTCTTCCAAAATACTGGATACAGGTTTCTCACATTATGATCAAAATTCAAATTATAAAAACAAAAGGGGGAAAAATCCTCCCCACTTCACTTGTTGATATATACTAATTAAATTTTTAAAAATTTTACAAAAGATGGAAGTACAACAGAGGAAAGACAATTCAATCAGGTAAAGCAAAAAAAAAAGCTAACTTGGTGTTCAGAATATGTCTGTGCTTTGCTAGAGCATGCTATTTGGCTGTATCATGAAGTAAGATCCTGAAAAGAAGTTGGTTCTACTTCGGGGGAGCTAACGTACAGTCCTTGTGCTCATCAGGAAAGAGGTAACTCCACCCAACCCCGGCTATTGTCTTGTCTTTATTTTCTAAATCCTCTCGCCGTTTTCTCCCAGGGACCACTGAGAGACCACCAACTCCCACAACTGGCGACGGTTGAGCTATGAGCTGCTAGAGGAGCGTAACAGCACCCTATACATGAGAAGCAGTAGGTTATGTTTTCTTTTTCAGGTTCTTACAGTTCTGCAAGTCCGCACCCTTAATGAATCTAGCTGCTTAACTTTCTGGCTTCAGCTCACATCTGGATGATGACATATAAAAGAGGAAAAAGGAACAGACAGAGGGGTCCATTCAGTCTGGACATTAAGGCTGGAAGTTTCCACCCAGAGGGAAGAATCGATCTCAGATCACATGATTAAAAGGCTGTACACATGGCCAGAAAGAGATACACAACACAGTGGATTTTAACTTCTTGGCCAAATCTTTAAGTGACAAAAAGTGGTGGTGATGAAGGCGAACGCGAACGCATTAAAGGGCTCCCGGCGGGGCTGGGGACTTAGCTCAGCAGCAAAAGCGCCTGCCTGGCAAGTGCAAGGCCGTGAGTTCAGTTCCCAGTACTGGAGAAAAACCAAAAGAAAAAAATAAATAAATAAAGGGCTCCCGGCGTATAATCAGCGGTTGCATGAGCAGAAGGGTGCGTTCGGCCCCCGAGTGCTGCGTCACTGTGCCTTACAGATTCAGGGAGGAAGATGGACCCGCTGCAAAGCTCCACACCAATGGGGCCCGGGGCCAGGACCACGCTGAAGGCTGGCACACGGCTACCAAGCACGGCTGCTGGCGCTCAGCGCTCTCCTTCTGCGCGAGCCACCCTGACAGAGGAAAACAGCAGTTACCTCTTTAATCCAGTGGCGGTACTCGTTCACGCCGAAAGTCTTCTTCATCCAAAGCCCATAAATATAACCTGAAATTCCCTTTAGCACCCATTCATCAGACCTGGGCAAAAATCCAAAACGTAAACATTACCGTGGATTCCTGCAGCACCGGGATCAAACCGCCTGCCCTGCGTCTCCAGCCCTCCACACCTCCACCCTCAGAAGTGCCTCTGGGCCACAGACGTCACTCAGGGCAGGGAGGACAGAGCAGGCGCCATGCGCATCTCCCCCATCAAGGGCATGACACTGACCAGCAGTCGGGCAGCTGGATGCCACCGCACCTCCGCACCCCTGGGACTGAGCCCGAGTCAAGCTAACCCGCAGGGCACGCGCTGCCTGTCTCCCGCTGGGCCGTGCGCAGTCTGCACTGCCGACGCCCGCGCTGCAGTCCTGCGCCTCATTCCCACCGAGGCTGAGCCTAAGCTGCATTACTTCAGCTTTTCCTTTCTCCAGAGAGAAAGCCACTCGTTCTATTCACTCATTCGCCCATTCACTGTTATCCCTCAATCCACACATGGTGCCCGTGCTCCAGACACTGCTCTTTGATAACGCTGCATAATTTAAAGAAAATTACAAGTCAAGAGGCCGTCCCTTCCAGCATGAAGAAAAAGCAGCTGAGCTCTACACGCTACATATAGCATAAGGCAGTGGTGGCGAACGTTTCAGAGACTGAGTGCTCCCACCACAACCCAGAACAGTTACTGAACACGAAGAGCCAACACCGCGCTTAACCACAAGACTGAGGTTTGCGTTCAGAAAGAACAACTTATCTGATGTGGGGCTGCTGGGGAGGCTTGGCCCGCGTGCCCGCCGTGCTTGCCACCACTGGGATAAAGTATTCACAATCAGAAATGATCACCTGAAGGGAGTCTTGTGTCGTTCTTTAAATTCATCTCAAGTTAAGCAAGCACATCTCTGCATCGCCATCGCTACTGCAGACAGTAAGTTTGCCCTAAGCGTTACCCAGAATGCTTCCAACTGCTTTGAACGCTACAACTGGGTAGTTTTCTAAACATTTAAGGTGTGGGGTTTTTCTGGGCACAGGGAATTGAACTCAGGACCTTGAGCTTGTCAGCCAGACCCTTACGCCACTGAGCTATATCCCGGGCCTAAACATTCAAGTTGTGTACCGACAGTATTCATTCAGTTCCTGGAGACTATTTTACCAGATTTTTATGATAAATTACAGAAGTAACTATTCTACTTTTATGGCCAAAAGTTAGGGTGAAATTCATATTCTTCTTCTTTAGATCTATAAAGAACACTGTCTTTCAAATTAGCTATCTGCAACTGGGACAAAGGTCAGCTCCCACAAAACAATGAATGTATGTGTAATGGTTGAAACACTGTCAACTTGAGAGGTTTAGGAGCTTAAAGCACTCAGCAGGGTGCCAGGGCCCTTACTTTGTCAGCACTCCGGGCCTGTGGGAGAGGCGGGAAGGGACTGGCCTGGGAGGAAAACAGGCCTGCTTCCGCTTTCGGTCCTGCTGATTTTGCGGTCTTCCGCCTTTTGCCGCCTTGAACTACTGCCCCTGTGCCAAGCCACCCCACCTTGGAGCCAGCTGGTGATGGCCTGAGACCTCCACGAACTGTGAGCTAAATAAACCTTTCCTTCCTTCATTTGGGGTGTGGGGTATTTTGTCTCAGCAATGAGAGAAAGGTAACCAAGACAGTATGGTTCCTTGGTGTCTTTTGTTGGTAGCTGTAAACTTGGAAATCACTCACTTACCAAGACATTCTGGATATGAAACACCCAAAAAACTGCTGGGCCAAGGACTGAGCTAAGCATCTCCTTGTCAGAGGGGTCTCATCGATAATCATGGCGCTGTGCAGAAGATTTGTACTGGAATTTACAAAGTGAGGAAATTAATTACAACTAAGGAACAATTGTTCAGCCAAGAAAATAATCACTCTCTTAAAATAATGGAGTGTAAGATAGACACAAAAGACAGAAAATAGAATAGTCTTCCGAAGAGCTTTCTAATGCTCACACCCTTAGCTGGAATTAGGGTCACAATCTTAGCAACTTCTGTGTAGAGCAAGGAAGACAGTTTGTCACTGAGCACCACGGAAAACACACAGAACTGTGGGACTCAGAGTAGAAGCTGGGATGTTAATAAGACACTGAGCTAATATGATGGGGCTGTCTAGTTTCAAAAACCTTAATAATAATCACTAACTTTTTGCTCTATTATTTACTTTTAAGTACATTCTCCGTGCAACTTTTGTAACTACACTCTGGAAAATGCAGAGGCAGTATTATGCCTCCATCATTCTTGAAACTTACAGACTGCAACTTTCCAAAGAATGAGGGAGAGACAGTTAACGGCAGCAGGAACAGAGAGGGTGGCTAGAACACACCTGTATGTCCACAATCCAGGCTCCTGGGGAGGCTGAGGCAGGAGGATTACAAGTTCAAAGCCAGCTTGGGCAACTTAGTGAAACCTTGGCTCAAAATTAAAAAATAAAAAAAAGGCTGGGAATACAGCTCAGAGGTACAGTGCTGACTGAGCATGTGTACGGCACTGGTTTCAAACCCCAATACTGGCTTCAAACCCCAAAAGCAAATACTCTCACCATCTATTTTTCCCACAAATTGCTGATCACATCCAGTTGATTTTTAAGTAGAAAAACAGCCTTACTATCTATACAGTAAGATGCATTTTTAAAAATTTATAAATAGGAAAGAGACTAAAACAAATATGGAAACTGCTAGTATCAGTTAGTTCTGGATGAAGATAAGTGTTTTGAGTTACGTCCAAATTTTCTTCATAGTTTTTCTAGATTTTTAAATTTTAAGAACACTAGGTAGTTTTCTTTTCTTTTTTTTTTTTTTTTTTAGCAAAGTCTACATTTAAATTAGAGGAAAAAATTCTTCTTAAAACTGATCATAAGCTGGGTATGGTAGTGCAGGTCTGTAACCCCAGCACTTGGGAGGCTGAGGCAGGAGGATTGTTGTGAGTTCAAGACCAGCCTGGGCTATAAAGTGAGCTCAAGGCCAGTCTGAAGTGCATAGCAGGACCCTGTCTCAAAAAGACAAAAAAAAAACAAACCCTGCTCATAAAGTGAGCAACTTTTCCTCCCACCATGATTCCAAGGTAGGTGTTTCAAACCGGAAGAGACACCAACCTGAAAATGCTCATGGATGCATAAGCAGCTACCTCGACATACGCTTCGTCAATGAACACAGTCTTGAAGCAGGAGTACGGGTACCGACACGTGAGGATCTCCTCGTAAAACTCGAACACCTCGTGGAGGTAGGATGTGGTGTGTTTAAGCAGTGGAAGCAGTTGGGGCAAACAAAAATGAGTGACCTGGAAAGGAAGAGCAGGGATGGTCATCCAGAGGGGCTGGCATTTTAAACTTCCTGCGCACCTCAATTACAAATGTTTCTGTAACCCACAAGAACACGCTGCCGTAAAATTAGTGATTACTCTTAGTTGTGCTTACAAAACAAATATTCATTGTACTGAAAAATTAAATGCATGATGGATTGTAAGACCTGAAATAATTATACTCACTGAAAATACAATTTTGGTTCGAAGTTAAAATTCCTTGTGATATGCACACGTAACAAGAAAGACTGAATTTCCAAGGATTATCGTAGTTCCTCCTCTTATGTAGCTAACCTAGTAGATTATGCACATTTCATAGTTCTCTCAGCCATTTTCCACTGCCTTCTGTTTGCCTCTTGTGGCGCTCTGCATGGAACCCAGGGCCTCGCACATGCCCGGCACGCACTACTGCACCCCCAGCCGCCGGCTAGTAACTCATACGCGCTCGGCGCCGGCCCCACTGTCGCAGACCCCTCCGCGGTTACCTCAGCCGCACTCTGAGGGCACAGGGAACTCACTGGTAGTGAGGACACACAGTGCTTGCCAGACAAACAGGGGCTCTGGTTTTCTTAGGTTACGCGCTGCCCTGGACACACATGGCATGCTGTCTCCCAGGACCACTGCACTGCGTAACTCAACAGGGACACAGCCCGCCCTGGGAGCGCGCAGTGACGTTTCACACAGGAGACGGAACGTGAGCAGATCGCTACGAACGGGGCAAGAGCCTGAGAGGTCCGTGTGAGAGAGTGGACAGCCCAGACAGTCAAGGGCGCCGTGGCCCCGTCGCTGAGCGCAGTACTTAAATGACAGTCAGGTCTGGGCAAAACATGAGGTAGCCACTTTGAGTATTTTTAAATTTCAGTTTTCTCAACGTGGTACTTAGCACTCTAAAAGATACCTGATGTACCCTCCTTAGAGTACAGGCTGATTTCTGTAACTGATTCAATCCACCGAGTATGTCATCTTTTTGCCAAACACAGTTTATAAGCACGGTTGCCCCACATCGCTGGTATGTGAAAAAGTGCAAACTCAAAATTACAGAGCAAGGTTTGCTCTCACACCTGCACATTCAGAGGCAAAGAGAAAAGCCCGAGGCAGGGTTGGAATTCTGGTCAGCGCACTCGCGCCGACGTCTCTCCTTCTGAAACACACTCGCCGAAGAGCCCCACCCCTCAGTGCGCGGCCAACACCTCCTGGCAGGTGCAAAGGAGGTGAATGTGTGGGGCACAAACCCTCTTCTGGTCAGGAGCGCCAGGGTGGGTGGCAGAGGGCAGGCGCCGTGGCTCACCTCGTGCATGTAGGGGTCCACGAGGATCTCGAAAGGGCCGATGGCCAGGGAGATGTTGGAGGCCGCGGTGGGGATGGTGAGCATGTAGTGGAAGGTCTTCTTCCTCATGTCATGGGTGTAGACCGTCTCCACCAGGTCTCCATTGGAGACGGCCACCATGGCGGCATCAACGGTGAACTCCAACTTCCAGGTGCACAGCTCGGAGTACGAATCCACACACGGGAACCAGAACCTAAACACAAGACGGCGGCGTGGGCACACACCTCAAGTGCGCTCCCACCTGGCCCCCTGCCAAGTTACGGGACCGTTTCTATCCAGTCAGTGAAACGTTTCACTTTGCATCTTAAAAGTACCTTATTAAAAAAAATCTGCTTCCAAGTCTCATTTAGCAATATTAAAAAAATACATCATGTGGTACCTCCAGGTTAAAACCTAAAAAATTAATCAATCTTAGTTCCAAAAACAGTTCTAACTTGTATGTTGACACTGGTCAGTTTTTTTCACAGCATTCATTTCAGAAAACTAAATAAAGTTTTAAAATGTATTTATTACTCAGAATCTGTTCCATATAAATTCTGTGTGAATTCCAACCGAATGCTAACAAAGCCAGATATAAAACTTATTTTATTTTTTTTATTTATTTTTTTGGTCTTTTTGAGACAGGGTCCCGCTATGCAGTTCAGGCCGGCCTTGAGCTCACTTTGTAGCCCAGGCTGGCCTCGAACTCGCAGCGATCCTCCTGCCTCAGCCTCCCGAGTGCTGGGATTACAGGCGTGCGCCACCACGCCCGGCTTACGATCAGTTTTAAAAAGAATTTTACAGGTGTGCGCCACCACGCCTGGTTCTGAAGTTTACTTTTGGCTACTAATTTAAGTCAGTCCTACCATGTGCCGGGGTCAGTACCGCTCTCATTATGGAAACATAAAGGAATGTAAGACATGAGTCTTGTTTACAGAAGGCAATGCTCTGAAGAGAGCATAGACACTGAACTATTTCAGCAATGAACTACAGAGCTATGAGAATGAACAGAAATATGTACTAGGACACAAAAAGATAGTAAATCTCACTTTTCAGGTTAAACAAAACCAGCCAGCTGTAGAGAGTACAACGCATAGGATTCCATTTTTGTGAAGCTCAAAAGCAAGTACAAGCAGCCAACGGCCCTTCAGAGAGCAGGGCAGACGGGAGGAGAGCTCTGTGACACTACAAATACCGACCTGATTCAGTGTCGCCTAAATGGATTTGTTTACTTGTGAAGATTTATTGAGCTTAAAATTTGTGCCATTTCCTGTACACTTGTTTGACTCCGCTAAGAAATTAAAAGAAGGGGCTGGGGATTTAGCTCAGCGGCAAAAGCGCTTGCCTGGCAAGCGCAAGGTCGTGAGTTCGGTTGCCGGTACCGGAGAAAAACCAAAAAAAAAAAGAAATTAAAAGAAAAGACAGAATCAAGGGGGACGATGATCTCAGAACACCGCACTTGGGAGGACAGAGAGGAAGAGAGACCGAGCGGAGTCACCGAGTAAGGGTCAGCAGAGGCCGGAGCGCGGGGATCAAACTCACACCGTGTGATGTGTACCAAATGAGCGTGCCGCACACACGCGCTGGGAAGCAAAGCGGCCTGAGGCAGGCCAGGGTGCCAATGTACCTCGTGGAGTTCTGGTAGCCGCAGGAGAAGACGTGGGCGCCCCGCTCTGCCATGCTGCCCTCCACGCTGGGCACCACGAAGTGGAGGCCTCCCTTGGGCTGATCCAGGGAGAAGTTAATGTGTATCTTCAGGACCTTCAGCTCTGCAACAACAGCGCACACACACCGCTGCACGTTCTGTGGACAAGTAACGGCAGCCGGCACGGCACAGGAAAAGGCAGCGAACGCAAGCGGGGCCCGCAGGCTGAATGTCACGTTAAATATCCTGCTCACGGCACACGTCTGGGCGTGTCACCTCTCACCCGGTACCAGCTCAGCAGCCTGCCTCTGCAGTGCCCAGCCGTCAGGCCGCCGGAGCAGCACTGGCTGTGCCTCCCAGGAGAGCGTGGTCGCTGCACTCCGTCGTCGCGGCACGTACGACAGCAGTGTCAACAGAGAAAGCCCCAGCTCCCACAGCAGACACTGACAGCCTTCTCGTCCAACCCCACACTTTACTTTTCAGGTTTCATCTCCTTTAACGCTTCCCTGGAAATTGTTCATTTAGATGACTTTGCAGTTAAAAGAAAGGGGGCGTGAAGTTGGTTGTGACTCTGAGGAATGTGCATTATGATTTCTGTATACTAAGCACATGCTGCACCACTCATGGTCGTGCACACCTATAATCCCAGCACTTGGGAGGCAGGGGCAGGAGAATCGCTGTGAGTTTGAGACCCTGTCTCATAAAAAGCAAGAAAAAGAACCAAAAAAACCACCAAAAACAAGCCCCTACATGCTGTTTTTATTAAAATTAAGCTATCTTTAATTCCCCTAAATATTATAATCATCTGAACGTGCACCACTGAAGCGTGGGCCCTGAGAACAGTGATCGGCTCTACCCCAGCCTGGGCCCCGCAGATAGGGAAAGTGACAACACTCTTTCCCCCTGCTGTCTTGACTCATTTTCATACAGTGAGGGCAGACAGACACGTTCATACAACACTGCAATGACTACAACTTGGCACAAGAGGAGAGGAAGACTGAAGGAGCTGCTTAGGAGGCCGGCTGCAGAGTGGGTGCCAGAGCTCCGAGTGTAGCTCCACCCACCAGGGCTTAGCTAAGAGGCTGCGGCGGCCACTTCCTCCCACTGGGCTCCACTGCTGCCCGGTAACATGACTCAGTGGATGAGAGGCTCTGCAGGGCCCTCTCAAGTGCAGCGCTCCCAGGTCCTGACAACTGTCCCAGCCGTACGATTTCTAAATCATCTTCCCGTCTGGAAACGACAGTGAAATTGGCCAGGGATGCGGCTCCGTGCCGGGGGTGGGGCACGCCCGCATCCACGACGCCCTGGGTCCTGTGCTCAGCGGCGCAGGAAGCCCGCACCAACAGTGCGGCGGCCTGAGCGGCCCTTCCCTGCCGGCCGGCACCCTTGAGGAGAGGGAGCTCCCACCCTGTTTCAGCCCGGGACCTGACTACAATCCACAGTCCACCAGCTTTCGCGTACCCCTGTCCGGCCCCCGGTCCGCGCACCGCCACTGCAGCCGGGGCGTCGGGTACTTTACCGTCGACGTGTTTCCACAGCTCGGAGGGAACCTTGATGCACAGCTCTCCGTTTCCCGCGTCGGGATCCACAGCACTGACCGCGGCGGCGTACGCGTTGGAAAAATAATTGAGGTTTCTCCTGGGGAAAAGCCGACATTTAATTACAAGCCACGCGCTCTCCGAGTCTCCCCATCCCCGCCCGGCTCCCCTCGTGTGGTCCCACACGGATCCGCCGTGAGCACTGTTACGGAGCGCGCAGGAGCCCCTCGGAGCCCGGCGGCCGCCGCTCGGCTCCCACGGCAGAGCCGCAGGCCAGTCCTCACTGCTTCGGACCCTCAAAGTCGCCGCGCTGCCCCGACGATGTGAGCAGCACAGGCAGAACTGGAAAGTAAGCGTGGCTTACCTACCTGGCAGGAATGTGGAAGGGTTCAAAAAGCTTTATAATTAGACAAAAATAAAGAGGGCTGAAGAAGTCAGCAACGCCAGTCCCACGCGCGCCGCTGCCGCGGGACCGCGGAGGCCGGGCACTCCCGGGCGCCCGTGCACCACACGCGCTGCGCTGCGGCAGCCGGCCCTCGGGCAGCGCTGGGCTCCGCGTCACGCGGCCTGTCTCCCATCGCATCACAGCACGAGAGGAACTTTGTGCTTATCTGACTTGGATTGAATTCCATGAAGCAGTGTACGCGCATGGATGCACACACCACATCTCCTCGCTGGACTCAAAGGAAACAGCCAGGAGACCGAGAGCAGGGCGCAGGGTGCAGGGCTCCGGCTCTGAGCCTCTGTGAACAGCTCTGAGGCTGCCACGGCTCGGGAAGTCGGCGGCACTTTCCCAACTTCGACGGGACCCAGTCACGGCACACACTCTGAACCCGCAGAGCCTGAGCCTCCCCGTCACCAAGGCTCTTTCTACCTCTTGGAAAGGAACACAGCTCCTCAGGATAGCAGCTACCCAGCCTAAGGTTCTGGAAGCACAGACTTCTCAATATCTGGACAATTTTTTCCATGCCCTAAGTACGGAAAATAGAAGGTGAGAAATATGACAGCTATCCTGAAGTCAGTGCCTCTGAGGGGCGGAGGGCGCTTCACTCCTGCAGGCGGAGCACGGGCCCCCGAGCTGTGCTCCCAGCCAGCGACAGGAAGGCCGCACACGTCGCCTATCTCTTTAGTGAGATCGATCACACAGCGGGAGCTGCACATCCATCCTTCGGGTGTGTAGTTCTAGAAACGTTAACACACGCGCAGGCTCAGGCAACCACCACCACAGCCAGTCCTGGCACCGCCCCGTCCTTGAACAGTCACAGACAGGCAACCACCACCACAGCCAGTCCTGGCACTGCCCCGTCCTTGAACAGTCACAGACAGGCAACCACCACCACAGCCAGTCCTGGCACTGCCCCGTCCTTGAACAGTCACAGAATGTCAGCCGGGGAGATGGGCTTGTCTGGTCTCTGAAATTCAGCCGTGTGCCACTGGTACCGTAACTCGTTCCTTTTACAGGTGAGCAGCATTACTCTGTGGCCAGGGTTTTCCTCTAACTAGCAGAGGGACACTCAGGCTGCTTCCACCATCTAGTCAGCATGGTGAAGCTACTACGAGCAGCTGCCCAGGTTTTCCGAGAACGTGAGTGTCGCCTCTGTGGCACAAACATCACGCGTGGCCCTCTGAGCCCCCAGTAAATGCATGTTTAAGAATCTGCAGCCCGCAGACCCTGAAACAGCTGTCTGGACCTTCCAACAATGGACCAAAGGGCACATGGCCAGCTGCTCCAAATCCTCACCAGCAATTAGTATCAAAGACTATTTTATCTACAGGTTGGAAGCCTTTTCAATATTTCTAATACATGATATTAGATTGCTGAAAAATTTTTATCCTTCCCTTTTATCTCTAAAATTAAGAAATAAGCCAGGTGTGCTGGCACACGCCTGTAATCCCAGCACTCAGGAGGCTGAGGCAGGAGGATTGTTTTAAGACCAGCCTGGGCTACAAAGTGAGCTCAAGGTCAGCCTGAACTGCATAGTGAGACCTGTCTCAAAAAGACAAACAAAAAACAAACCCTAGATACTGTTACGGTTTATATCTGATGTCCCCAGAGCTCAGGTACCTACAGGCATGCACCACACCCAGCAAAAGAAAGCAATTTTTAACAGCGTAACCGCATAGTTCCTTCGCTCCCACACTGAGATGGCTTTCTTTCCACTGCCTCTTCTCAGTGGAAACGAAGAGACTGGCATTACACTGATTCTAGAAACCTCGAAAATTGAGACAATAGGGAAAATACAAACATCTCCTCAAAGTAGCAGAGTCTCTCTGGGGAAAGGAAGAAACGGAGTGGGAAGATGTCAGCCACTGCTGGCCACCAACCCACAGAAAGTTTCCTTGGCAAAGTCCACATTTATTTTATAACCAAGAAGACAGTCGCATAGCAAACAAACAAAAACCAAAATTAACTAACTCAAAACCACCCAAGAGCCACAGCTGCTGTGGAGGCCCAATGTAATCTGTCTGTAACACACGCGATCCCATCATAAAATACATCCGGGAAAATGTCAAGTGCCTAAATCATCTTACTGGGAAACTATTAACAACAACAACAGAAATGTTTTTTTCTTGGTTTGCCTTTTTAAGATACGGTCTCACTATGTAGTTCAGGCTGGCCTTGAACTAAACCAGGCTGGCCTCTAACTGACTGCGATCCTCCTGCCTCAGCTTCCCAAGTGCTGGGATTACAGGTGTGCCCCACCACACCTGGCAACCAAAAATGTTTTAAAGTCTATAAACATTACATAACTATTATGGTTTCCAGTGTTATAAAAGTAATTCAACATGTCCACTAACATCAGTTGGATAAAAGAAATGCCTTTTAGCGGGCGTGGTCTATCTGTAAGGTTCTGATGTATTAAAGATCAAGCATGACCAGTGAACCTGAAGTTTTGCTTCTAATTTCAAAACATCTCACAGTTAATTGTTTCAGCTTTATTGCAAACTTTGTCGGTTCACTCAAGGAAGTGCACTTCACAAACAAGAACGTAACGGAAGTGTGCTACAACGGGAGTGTGCCAAGACCTTCATCAGCTGCCTTCCCCGGGGTCCCGCAGGACACGCACGTCACCCCAGGACGCTGCTCCTGTCTGACTGCCAGGAAGAGCAGCAGTGCTTCTTCTACATGCTGTGCCTCTGTCTTGCCTCTTTTGAGTCTCATTAAAAAAAATACTGTTTCCCTCTTTGTTATGACAACCAGAAGTCTCAGGAACAAACCTGCTCAGAATTGTGCAACTTAACAGTGTGCACCCCTGACTTTTATTGTTTCCTCTTCATGCTAACTTTATTAGCTACTTTTAAAAACTTTTCCCTAATAAAATCTGAAACAAATTGCAAACCCTTTTTGAACAAGTCAGAGAACATAAACACCAGTAAAGATAACAAATATTATCTCTCTAATTGAGATTCTAGTGTTAGGCAGGAAAGCAAAAAAAAAAAAAAAAAAAAAAAAAAAACAAGCATTTATTAAGTACAATGCCTGTAAGCCAGGCATGATGGCACATGCCTGTAATCCCAGCACTCGGGAGGCTGAGGCAGGAGGATTGTTGCAAGTTCAAGACCAGCCTGGGCTACAAAACTACAAAGTTCAAGGCCAGCCTGAACTGCATAGCAAGAGACCCTGTCTCAAAAAAGGCCCCCCCTCCCCAAAAAAAGTAAGTACGATGCACAACAGGACCGTGCCTTTAGCTGCAAGGAAAACTAAAATATACCCTAGGTTTCCCAATTCTTAACCTAACCTTGGGAAAGGTTCTCCCTTATGACTGTGTTTAGTCATAACAGTAAAAGTGATGAGGCGCCGCCTGTTTTGCTGGAGAAAGTTTTACGAGCTCATGCGGATAAACAGCAAGGTTAACTTCACTTCCACAAAGGCCTACGGTGTCCACCGGCCTCGCTGGCCTGGCAGCTGCTCGGGGACAGATTATTCTGCGTCCCGGGCAGCAACAACCCACACACAGACATGTTTCCTCCCGAGGGAGATGACTCTGTAACAACCCTCTTCCGGTCAGCTCTACAAGCCGGGCTGTAAAAGCAACACAACTTCAACAACTGGCCTTTGTGGGACGGGAAGTTACAGGACTGGCCCAGAGCGCGACGCTGTGCTCCTGGCCCCGCTGAGTCTGCGAGCCTGGGGAGTGCGGGCGTGAGTGCGGGCGTAGAAGGTGCGGCAGTGCACGCTGCCGCCCAGTGTCGCCCACCAGAAAGGCGGCTCATACACACTTCCCCTGATGACACCGAGACTCCAGCTCCTCCCCAAAGTCAAAACGGCCATGAAAGAGACACGTCTGGAACAGTCAGGGCACGGAGGCAGCCTCAACAGCGCAACGGAAGACGCTCCCCCAGAACTGCTTCAGAGAGCAAGGAGGCAAGGAGATGAGCGTGTCCCGGGGGGAGGGGTAACTGCCACGCCTTTCACTGCCATAACTTTTAAAAATGTAAACGCCACACAGAGCCTGCAAAAAATGTATCTATCAGGAAAAGAAAAATGCGTATAAATATTTTAATACCAAATTTATTGAGACATCTTGAGATTAATACAAGTTGCCTTTGGCCTCTAAAATTACAAGAGGGGCTCAAAGAGGTGGCCACCAGCTTCCAGACATGTATTAGTATGGCAAACTGCTGAAGCATATACGCATTTGGTTTTTTTGTTTGTTGGTTGGGTTTTTTGGTTTTTTTTTTTTTCCGGTACCAGGAATCGAACTCACGATGTCATGCTTGCCAGGCAGGCGCTGCGCCGCTGAGCTAAATCCCAGCCCCATACATTTGTTTTTTTGGCAGACTGTATTTTTTATCACACCTTATAAACCAATGATCATCTGGGATCACACATTTCTCTAAAAATAAGCCGTCCTTCTCAGCCCTCCCGAGGGCTGACTGCAGTGATCTCAAGCTTGGCCCATCCCGCAAGCCCCGGAAGGCTCGCTAACACAAACTGAAGGCTCCCACCACCAGCGGTTTACTCAGCAGGTACAAGGCAAGGCCGCTTGTGCCTGGCCAGCAGCACTTTGAGAACTGCTGCCTTACTGTACGTGCTGTGCTTGTTAAAATGCCATTTTAACTAAAACAAGGTCACAATCCAGACTCGGCAACGTACCCCAAAACACTAAGTCACAGAACCAACAGAACCCAGTGCCGCTGAAACTTTAAAAACAAGGAGGGTCCTCTAATGTAGCGGATAGTGTTACACATAATGTTCTATAAGATGTTTTAAATTAGTCTACACTGCTGGGCGTGGTGGCACACGCCTGTAATCCCAGCACTCGGGAGGCTGAGGCAGGAGGATCGTTGCAAGTTTGAGACCAGCCTGGGCTACAAAGTGAGCTCAAGGCCAGCCTGAACTGCATAGCGAGACCCTGCCTCAAAAAGCAAAAAAAAAAAAAAATAATAATAAATTAGTCAAAACTATTACAGAGTACTTTTAGTTTGTGTCTGGTCTAAAAAGCATGGCGATCACTTCAGCCACTGAAAATTACTGTTCTTTTTTTTTCTTTTGGCAGTACTGAGGACCGAACCCAGGGCCTTGCCAGTACCTAGGCAACTACGCCACTACTGAACCACATGTTTAACCTGAAAATACTTAATATTTATGTAGTAACTACTTAAAAAAGTTAAAAATGGGAAAATGGGTAAGAAAATTTAATGTTTCTAGCCAGACATGGTGGCACATGCCTGTAATCCCAGCACTTTGGAGGCTGACACAGGAGGATCACCACAAGTTCAAGGCCAGCCTGGTCTACACAGGAAGACCCTGTCTCAAGAAATCAAAAGAAAAAAATTGGAAGTTCCTAGAAAATACTTCCTTAAAATTGTAATATAAAGAAAAGAAGGAATAATTCACTATATTGTAGAGAACTAGCAGGACCCACTTGATCCAAATGTGCAGAGTACGAAAGCAACAGATTATAAACATACAAATGGAATCAGAGTCTAACAATGACCTGAGAAAGATCTGTTAAGAAACATGAGTTGAATCATGAAAAATACCAAGACTGTTACAAATGTGGACCTTTAAAGCATACAACTTACTGTTTTGACTCACTGTGACAGACTTCTAAGGTCGGATCATTATAAATAAAAGCAGCTTCTAAATCGTTGATCCTCACTCGGTATATTCTACACTGTTTGCTGTTCAACTTGATCCTATTTAGATTTGTGACTGTAGGAAATATAGTCAGTTCCACAAATCCCTGTAAAAACAAAGAATAAGAGCTTCGCTGTGAAGATCGGTATGTCGCAGAACATATTCCTTTGCTTTCCACGACGGGCCTACTACACCCCACAGGTAACGCCCTGAAGAGTCGCACACCCAGGCACACATACAGTGCTGTCCACACTTCTTAATTCCAAACGCGACTGTCTTCCTGACTGCACTGGTGGGGATTACGTACACCTTGCCATCCTGGAGGTTCACACAACCATCAATCAAAATTAAGCCGTCTGTTACAAAAAAAGAAAAGGGCACACTACTCTCAAATATAAGAATTTTTGGCCAGGGACACAGCTCAGGGGCACAAGTCCTGGCAAGTACAAGGTCCTGAGTGCAATTCCCTGTACAAAAATAAAAAAGAAGAAGAATTTCTGGAATGACTGGAAGCCGAGCAGCGAAACGGAAGAAGAAAATAACAGAACAGCAACAGAATCAAAGATACAAGATTGGCGAATGAAAGAACATGGACTGTGTGCATGCACACACACATACATGTACAGACACGCAGGTACGGACACACAAACACAGAGGGGAAAAACCAGTACAGCACACTACCGAAGGGAACAAGCCTGTCAGTTCACAGAGGTAAATCGGGATAGTAAAGCAACAAACAGTAAGAGAAACGCAGGCAAGATGGAGCCGCGGGAACTCCACGGTGCGGAGACGCCTCAAGCAGCCCAGAGCCAGGGCTCCGCCACGCTGGCCGTGTGCACGCAGCTGCCCGAGCACAGGCCGAAGACGCCACACACAGGGCACACACCGAGCGCTCACCACCTGCGGTGCTCAGCCCAAGGGAAAGACGGACAGAGGGAACCTGGAATATGCCCAGCAATTCTAAGATCTTTGGTTGATATGCTCACGCATGGTGCTACAGTCTAGATCTAAAATATCCCCCCAAAACTTGTGTGTTCAGGGGTGCGGCTCTAAGATGACTGGTTCATGGGGCCCTACACTCATCAGTAGGTCGATCCTTGATAAGCTCACAGCTGAATGTGCTATTAGGAGCTAGCATCTGCCTAGAGGAAGGAGGTCACAGGCGCACGACCTGAAATGGTGTAGTCTCGTCCCCAGCCCTTCCTTCTCTCTGGGTGTCCTCCTCCTTCCACTCTCTCTGCTTCCTGGCTGCCACGATGAAGCAGCTGTCCCCCTGCCCTGCCACCCCCAGCCCTTTCACAGTGTCATTTCTGCCCTAAGCCAGCCAACTATGGACTGCAGGAAATATAGTCAGTTCCACAATTCCCTCAGAATTGTGAGCCAAAATAAACCCTTACTTCAACTGCTGGTGACGGGTGTTTTGTCCCAGTGACAGGACGTGAATACAGAAGACATATGGGACAGCACAAAACTGTAACATTTCAGGGGCTTCAGCAGGGGCTGTGATGGATTAAGATAAAATTCAAGCAGGCCCAGCTGCTAAATGCCAGGCACTGTACTAGATAGTAGACACTTCAGATGTTTTCTAACCTGGACAGCTTCTGACAGCCACGTGCTACTCTGTACATCTTACACCAAGGCTCTACGAAGTAGGTACTACGGGAAAGTGTAAAAAGACCCAGAGAGCACAGCGCTGTAGTTTAACGCATGTGTTCTGGAGTAAACTCCCTCCCTTCTAATCCCAGCTTTACCACACTGTGACCAGTGCTCCTGGACTAGTTACTGTCGCTCTCTGTGCCTATTTTCCTCATCTGTTAAACAAGAATGATGGTCTACCTTTCATAACTGTTGCAATAACTGAGCCAATTTATTACATGAACACATTTAAGACAGAAATTGTGGGGCAGGGGGTGCTGTTCAGAGGTAGAGAATTTATCTTACAGTACAGAACGAGGTCCCTGGAGTGAGCAGGAGGCCAGCTCTCCATCTGCTCTGGACAAAGGAAAAGATTTAACTCTCCCCGGAGCTATGGTACTTTGATTCAGAACTCACGTCTTGCTGCAGGTCCCAAAACATTCCCATAATCCATAGTCAAAGTAGAGAGCTTGTAGCCAGGGTATCCAGTGGAGTCACAGACCACCGCTCCATAGAGGAGGACAGAGGTGACTTCCCTACCCCATAACACACAGCAAACATTTCAGTAACTGGTAAACTGCCACTGCTAAGTTGTCCCCCGGGGGCAGGGATACTACAACAGCAAGGGCTGAGCAGACACACCTGGACTGCCCATTCTCTGCTCCAAGACGGTAAACCAAAGCAACTAACGACCGAGAACTGCAGAGGTTAGGGCCACGGAAGTCCGGAGCTTCCTCTCTGCCAGGCTACAGGCAGGCAGGCGTCTCACTGCTCTGATAACACTTCTACTCTCCCTTAAGAAGGTCATTTAACCTCTATTCAGACACCTCCTTGGAAAGTTAGAATTAAATATTACCTACGTGAGGAAGGTACTGTGAAGACTCAGTGAGTTAACACCATACACCTTGGAAGAGTGTCTTAGCTCCCTCCACGCCTGCCTTACATCACCCAGAATGCACAGAAGGCTCACGTGCCTTTCTAACACATCTCACTCATCTTTCTCACACATATTAAGGACTCAATGGTCACTGTAGTTCAGTTAATCACGTCAACGCTTTCTACGTCAGTTTTACTAATGCTATCTTTATTGACAGCTTTGTCATTTCTTCCCTCAATTAATACTGTAAACTGCTGAGCATGGTGGTGCATGCCTGTAATTCCAGCACTCAGGAGGCTGACTCAGGAGGATCACTATGAGTTCGAGACCAGCATGGGCTACAAAGTGAGCTTAAGGCCAGCCTGAACTGCATAGCGAGACCCTGTCTCAAAAAGGCAAAAAAAAACCAAAACAAAACAAACATGTACAATGTAACCTCCTAAAACTCTCACACTTTCCCTACACAATTCATACCACATGCTATTCCTAAGTATGCTACAATGAGATACAAGGAAAACAGTAACCTCTGAGGAATACTGCAGAAGAAATTCCATAAATGAGCACATTGGACTTAATGAACAATGTAGGAGCTCCATAAACCTAAGACTGTGTGATTCTTCTGACTGTATGACAGGTGTGGTGGTGCATACCTGTAAGCCCACCATTTGGGAAGCTGAGGCAGGAGAATTACTGAGAGTTAAGGCTGGCCTGGGCTACATAGTGAGTTCAAGCCCAACCTGGAATACTAGCTGTCTCCAAAAAATGGAGACATATTCTTTTCTGTTTACAGCGAAGGAAACATACAGACATGGGCAACGAGTATGAGGGGAAAACTGATAAAGCTATTCAAGGAAAACTGGCATGAAGATTTTAATCTACTTAATACAGGTATCTCTAAAAAGTACACTAAATGTTTAGGTTCTCAATGACTTTCCCAGAGCAGATTATGTCAGCAAGCCACACATCTAAAAGGTGCTGTGTAGGCTACTAGATCTCAGAAGTTCTATCCAAAACCTCACTGCAAAGCAATACCACCAAAACCAGTTCATGGAAGTCAGAACAGACAAGTGGCCTTTTGGAAGCCAAGCCATGCCAGTAAGAGTACAAATTTTAATTGTTCCAGGAAAGAAACCTCACTATGGGCTTATTCTTGTTTTAAGCACAATTCTAACATGCTTGGTTATACAGGATTTCATACTGCACAAAATAAAATTAGAAGAATAAAACTTTAGTCAGGCAAGAGAGAAAAATTGAGAATACTGAGGAGGCAATGCGTACAGCCAAAGGATGAGTCAGACCTGAATCCTAACTTGTGCCTATTCTTGAAACACCGTTATCTGGAAGAACATAACGTGATGTGAATGGCACACTTATCACTCTTTGCAATTCTTGAATATAAACTTACCACAACCGATTTTCTCTGGAAATTTATGTTGTTTATGCAGACAACCTGATGAGTTGTATATTAAAAAATACAAAAAAAGAAAAAAAAACTATTATTAAATGAAAGCATAAGTGCATTCCAGTATAAATAAGGACTACGTTCAAAGGAACTCAAAATCACACATCAATCTTTTTATTTAAAAACCCTACAAGCGGGACATGATGGCCCGTGCCCTGTCATCCCAGAACTTGGAAGGCTGAGGCAGGAGGTTCTCTGCCGGTTTAAGGCCAACCAAGGTTACATACGGAGTTCAAGGCCAGCCTGGACTACACAGCGAGACCCTGCCTTAAAAAAAAAAAAAAAATACATGAACAACTAATAAATAAATCCCCGCAAAGCAGGACAACCCGCTTATTTTAAATCTGGCAGGAGTCGGAAGTGCAGATCTCGCCCGAAAGCGCGGCCGCCCATCCACCTCCCGGGAACCGAACCGCCAAGGGCACGGCCGCTCCCGCGCACCCAGGACACCCTCCCGCCTGGGCGCGGAACCGGGGCGCCCGGCCCGGGGCAGGCAATCGCGCCGGCGAGCGGGGCGGATACTTATAGTTTATAGGGCCGCGGGCTCTCGAAGCCCTTGTCTCCCTTCTTCTTGTTCATCCTGGCGGGCTCGGAGCCCGGCGGCGGCATGGGGCGGGCCCGCGGCGCATTCCCGGC